ACCATTAAAGAGACAGTCTGGTCAATTTTTGAAGCAATGTTCTGTCAAATAGTAATTAATAGCACACTTTCCGCAAAATCAGTCTTCAGAACGTAATATGAAGAAAGAGAATAATAGTCCATGTAAGAGTTGGGCTAACAGCTAAGTCTACCATTGTCCCCATTTTATCATTCTTTTAGACAAACAAAGCAGAAACGTTATGTTGGAGTGATAGAATACTATATTAGTAAATATTGAAACTGTTTTACATGATGTTTGTTTGATTTGTAGCAGTTATTAAAGCAGTGTTTCTTAATTATTTTCTGTTACCCCAGCCGGTAGAAGTAAACATTTCGCCCCCCACCCAAACTCTCTGCCGTGACTGTAAATATTATTTGTCTATAAAATTGTTATAAGTACACCGTATCCTTATTAACATTACAAAAAGCAAAACAAGATAAAAGAATATAGATCATCTTACAATGAATAACTTCATTAACTTTTTTTTTAGTTTGTAACAGAAACAATATAAAGTGCATCAATTTGCCTGAAAAAATAAAATAAAATCAATCTGCATATGAACTGTAATCATTTTTTGACCATTTGATAATGTAAAATAAAATTAAAATAATCAATAAATAATAATAAATTCAAATTGATAAGCAACATTATCTTAGGAGTGTTATATAAAAAACTTTGATCTACAAAACAAAAATGAATAAAACAATTTGTGGATCAATGAGCAAACTCATTGATAAAACTAAAAAATGTTCTCAGCGCAAAAGAGGAAAGAGATGGCAAGTAACCCTCTCGCTTTGAGTTTACTCTTTGTCACATGTGTGCTGTGGATGACAAGCGTCCAGAGCGTCATAAAAACAGTGGCGGAGGTGTTGGAGTTATTTATCTATCGTCTCAGCAGCAGAGGGGAGCGACACCCTAACAAAATGAGAATGGTGGGAAAAACAATCAAACAAAAAAAACAACTACTCCCTGCGGCCAAAAAAGCATGTTCCCCGGGGTCACATGCACCCCGCCCATCCCCCACCCCCTGGGCATCACCCCGGGCCCCCGCAGGGAGGGTGCGCCCCACAATTTGAGAAGAACTGTGTTAAAGAAAACCTATCTGAAAAATTTGTAATGCTAGATTTGGGGAATTGCCTCGTGATACAGACCTGCTTCATTGTTTTTACTTTAATGTTTATATCATATTGAGAACAGTCAATGGGGGTGGCCAGAAAATATACAGAGAGGCCCTTGCCCCCTCCTAGTAGTGCCCCTGCAAGACTCATAGATGGACGTTCTCCTCTTTCTTCATCTGCGTTCTCTTTGACTGCTGTCACAGCTGATAAGGAAATAATAAACATTATTTTTACAATGAGCATTGTAAGTTTACGGGTTTAATATACTCTATTATATTAAATATATTATTTAATATAATAATCCTGAGTAAAATGGAACAGCTTCAATTTATGCTCAGTCTGTGTTGGAAACGTTGCCATATCCAGGGTACTATCCAAGCACTGGGATGCACAAGTGCTTGTTGTGTGTCCCGTACCTGAAGGACCGGGTAGTGTGTTTATTTCAGTGTTTAACTCTCCGCAGACTGGTGCGCTGCACTGACTGAACACCCTTTCTCACATTCACCCCCACCTGGAGCAAGGAGGGCAGGATGAGGGAAGGAGACAAGACCTGGACCAGTTAGCTGCTGCAGCCTCAAACATGAAACCAGGGCAGGAAACTAACTATGGCTCACGTGTTCACCGTCGTGGTCAATCCGACAACCAAATAAGGCACCAAATTTAGACAAGTTTGCCATTATTTTCTGTGCATTTGCAAAATTTTACACTAAGGGTTGCAAGATTTCACGCAGATTATTTTTGAGTCATAGTTGGTTTATTCTCAGGTCTGTTGAACGACAAAATACTTTTTAATCAACATTTGTGTACGAACTAATCTGAACTACCCACTGGGCGTTAATAATAATAAGCTGTCTGCTTGAGTTTAGTGTTTATGTGGGACTCTCAGTGAAAATGATAAAAGCACCAGACTCACCTTTTTTGGGAGGACATTTCCCTTTTCTTCAACAAATATCACCTCAGCAGAATGGTCCTCCTTCTGCTCTTTCTGTGAAAGAAAATGATTAAATCACTATGCTATAAAACCAATATAAATAGTTGCGTAGAATGTTTATCAAATTGCCTGCATCTAAAATGCCAAATAATGTTAAACAATATTTTATTTATTTAAAAAAATTGTTCTGGTTTATGTTTGTGACTTGACCAAAAATGATCCATCATCTTTTGTGATGATTCTTGGGTATAAGAAAAAAGTTAAAGATGATAAAAAAAAAATAAAAAAAAATAAATAAAAAAATATATATTTATATAAATATATCAAATCGAAGAACTTCCAATTTGATTATTTAGATAAAATAAAAATAAAGGAGATGAAAAAAAGATGTTCTCCCTCTCTGGGCGCAGGAAGCGGCGGCTGGTCGGCAAGGCAACCTGACCTGGCCTCGCCTCTCCTCCTGTTCCCAAGCTCGTTGGCCCGCCTCCTGATGAGAGAAGCCCAACCCCCTGTCAAAAGCCTGCGTGCCCTTCAGGGGTCGCCCATGCAGCACATGAGAGTAACCCGTGTCACACACCGAAGTCAGCAGGGCCTCCTGAGCCACGTGCAAGCCTGGTACGCTCCCATCGTATGCAGATGACACTGTGCCCTCCCAACCATGCAGGGAGTCCCTCTCTGGTATGTATGGATGAAACGCGCCTCCTCCAGTTATCCTGTAAAGCAAAATAAGAAGGGGAAATGTGAGAGCAGAGGAACTTGGAGCTCATAGTGGCAGGAGTTTGAGCTCTCCGACGACGGACGCACCGGTTGTCTTTGTTGGGTTCTGTTGATCGACTCAGCCCAGTCATCTCACTCCGCTGGGAGTACACCTGCTGGCCTGCAACAAGAGAAATCCCTTCTACTGAGCCCAGCCCTACAGCTGCTCCAGCTCCTCCTCTTGTTCCTCCTCCTATTTCCTCCCCTCGCCTCACATCTGACCTCTGACCTCCCAGCTGGCCGTTTAGATTGACCTTGGGAACGGCGCCACTGGCCCTCACCCTGTCCCTTTCTGCCAGTGCACTCACTGGCTCCTGTGGCGCCTCCTCCTCCTCAACTTCCCCTTCCTCCTCCTCCTCCTCCTCCTCTTCTTCGAGCTCCATGATGGAACCACTGGCGCCACTGGCTCCGCTGCCTGGGCGGCCCAAGCTGCATGGTAAGGAGAGCGTTGCTCCCTCAGAGTCGTCAGCCCGACTGCTGCCGTCCAGTGACGAGTCCTCGACTGTGACCAGCGAGGGGCTGACCCCTGCTGGCCACACCTGAACGTCCGACATCTCCATCAAAGTGTCTTCTTCTGTGGTGGCAATAGGTGCACACTCCAGGCTGGAGACTTCCTGCCAGTAGGGCTCTGCGCCTAATGGAGAGGGCAAACTGTACTGCATGGAGGCCGGGGACACAAGCTCCTCCTGCACCAGCCCATAACCTGGAGGGAAGACAGGGGCGAGACAAAAGAAAGACTAACACCAAGCAGGCACAGCCAAAGGGAGGGTGGAGAGGTGGGACATGGCTGTTTTTCCAAATCTGCAAGAGAAACAGCAGGGTGCCCTGTCCCAATAAACAAGACTCTGTCATATAATTTGGACGGACAGTTTTGGATTTGTCTTGCAAAAAAAACCCACTGAGACCAGGCTCAGACAACAGGAGTTTTAAATGTTGCCTGCATCGTAGGCACGAGGGCATGATCTTTGGTATTGTAACAAAGCACAAATATCCAAATTTTAAAAATAGTGGCACTTCATCTAAAACAAAACATAATTTTAGGATTATTTTGTCAGAGGAAGAGTTGTGCAGAACACGATCTGGCAGAAGGATGTAGATAAGAATTTGGTGCAAATGCTTGTTTTAACGCACAGAAAACCAAAAAGTTACAAAAGACCAGAAGGGAAAATGTTTTTAGAGACTGAGTGGGTTTCTATCTTTCAGTAAGAACTAAACATTAAGGGTAGCCATATTTACAAGTAAACGATGATGAAATAAATCTACTGTATTTTCCGGCGTATATGTTGCATCAGCCAAAAAAAAAGCATCATGAAGAGGAATTTTTTTTAAATTATGCGTCAAAGTTGACCCGTTACATTTATTATGCGTTTATTTAATGGTTAAAAAAAAGCTTCATTTCACCTGGGCGGCGCAGTGCCATCCATCCATCCATCCATCCATCCATCCATCCATCCATCCATCCATCCATCCATCCATCCATCCATCCATCCATCCATCCATCCATCCATCGTGGCTGGAGCCGCTAGCTCTCCAGTGTTCCTCCGTCTGCACCAGCTGAGTGAAGCGAGCAAGCACGGGAGGACTCGCTGTTGCAGTTCTTCGAAATTTAAAGCGTCAGTCAAAAATTGCATTATGAATATGGAAAAAAAAACCATATATGTCAGTTAGGCATATAAGTCGTAGGACTGACAAATCTTTGAAAAAAAAAAACTGTGACTTATACGCTGGAAAATACGATACTTATAGGTAACTGTTTGCACACATGCAGCAGAATTATAATAATCCAGATTATGGTGGCTTTGAATTGAAAAATTTAAATTTGCCAAAATGTAACCCATTTTTACCAGATAGTATTTTATGATATGTTTGGGCATTTAATTACTTTAACAACTGAGGTATTAAATTTAAACTCCAGTGGGATTAAATGTGGCATATTTTGGTCCAAACTCACGTAGTCTGAACCTGACCTCTGTATTTCAAAGACATTTGAGCAAACTCAACTCAAATATTCAACAAATTCTGATTAAAAAAATGAAATTCTGATAAAACACAGAACTCAAGCTTTACAAAAAGACATTTTTCTTTGCAAATTTCCCTTTTCTCTGGTTAAATAGCCTGATTGATCAAAAAAAGCGGATTAATTTGATGCAAAATGTGGCAGTGCAGGTCTCTGTCATTGGGACACGGCGATATGTGCAGCGTGTGACAAAGAAATAAGGGATACTGTGGATCATCTGTTTGTGAAGTGAATGATGCGGGATATCACTTTGCTGTCAAGTTCAAAAAGTGAATCGGTAGAAAAACTATTTTAAAAAGAGAAAAGAAAGGTAGAGTGTATACGCTCATTGTTGGGTTGGCACGATATTCATCGGGACTAATATCTAAAAAAAAAGGTCATTTATTTTGAAAATACTCTTTTGTTTAATTGTTGTTCTTTTAATTTTAGGATTCAGAAACAGTTTCAGAAGCCTCGGTGGAGCACAAAACCCAATGTGGTGAAAGATTTCTTATCGTTCCAACCCGTGTAACAAGTTCCTGAGCGGGAGTCAGCATCTGACAGATTCTGCAGAATGAAATGCAAGTTACTGCTGCTCTTGCATTCTCCTATGCTGCAGCTGCACAGCAGAATCATGCATTCATGTTGGCACCTAAAGCATTTCAAACAAAGGTCCTTCTGCACACACATACACACCAATGCACACACTCTGAACAGAACTGCAGGATTTATAACTGACTTGTGACAGACAACAGAATCACTGTGCAGCAGTTTGTGATATTTTATGTCATATCAAGACTTTGAGTGGATTTTCTATGAATGATAATTTTACAAACTAAAACTGCAAATATAATAGAGATCAGGTGAATCCCTCTCCATGGTGGTTCCCACACCTCAACCCAAATGTTCACATGCCAATTTGTAGCCTAGTAAACACATTTGGAAACACATTAATACAGATTGTATTGGGAGATTTGCAGATTAATTACAACAGAATCTGGATACAGATCACCACTGCTGATGAAGATCAGTCACCTTCAGTCAGCTGAATGAGTTCAGGGCTCTGAAGGGTCTCACGTCACACGACACGCTGAGTTTTATGGACTGCTCCGAGGAGACAAGAAATGTATTTTATCGCTATCTTGTAGTCAGACTTTGGTAAACTTTGTAAATGGATCAGCTTCAGCAAAAACAAAGTTGGTTCAATTTTTTAATAGTTCACTTGTGATAGCATTAATGGCACTGCACCAAAATGTTAGCAATTTTTTTGTACCATGTGACTATTCTATTCTATTCTATTCTATTCTATTCTATTCTATTCTATTCTATTCTATTCTATTCTATTCTATTCTATTGTCTCTAAAGTAACTATAGCCGAGATGAGTTTTCTCATCAGCGATTGCTCAGTCTCTCCTAGAGCTGTCATTTCTAACTGGGGCCCGGCACCGGCCCGACACGAATATGGGGCGGGCCGGGACATGATAATTTGCTGGATGGGTGGGCCGGGTCGGTGTTGGGCTTTTGATTGCGTCAGTGGATCAGCCGCGATCCAATTACATGGCAACATGGCTTGCCAAACCTTCCAATTAAGTGGCACATGGCTTGCCATACTTTCACCAGCCGCATGCAGCCATCTCACCGCAAGCTGACCGGCCTTGAAAGTGGCAAAATAAAGTTCAGTTAAGCTTCAGATGGGACTACACTGCCAGGAAGCGATCCATCGCCCAAATGTCCGTTCATTTCAGTCGCTGCACTCAGCGGACGCGTGTAGCCGACGACCCCAACAGGTGAGATGCCAAAGCAGACATGCCAGAGCAGGGTCTGTGTATGAATAATGCAGAATGCAGGCAGAACGACGGCCATGAAAGGACAAACAACCCCTCAGCTTCGATCTTCTGCCCCTTTTATTCAGCCACGCACATCCGCCGACCGTTAATAACTATATAAACAGTCAAAGCTTAATTAAAAATGTGATGGTTTTTTTTTTTTGGTTTGGACCTGTAATTACAGTTATTTCACCGGGTCAGGTGGGGTTCGGAAATACTGGCTACGGGCTGGGTCGGATCAGATTTTTTGGGCCCAAATGCAACTGTAGTCTCTCCCATCTCACCTGCTGAAGCTTATGACTCATATAGCGAGGTCATAGGTGTCTTGGTGGTCTCTCTCATGAGTCTCCTTCTTGCTCAGGTATTCACTTTGTCAGAACAACCTGCTCTTGGTAGATTTACCGTATTGTTCAGATCATAAGGCACACTTAAAATGCTTAAATTTTCTCAAAAATAAACAGTGAGCCTTATAATCCATTGCACCGTATGTATTAATTCTGGTTGTGCTTAATGACCTCAAACCGATTTTATGTGGTACAACTGACCAATGCTGAGAGTTATTGTGAATGAGATGAATAAAGTTTGACTTATCTGACTGTTTTGTTTCGCTTAATGTGCCTTATAATCCGGTGCGCCTTATAGTCCAAAAAATACGGTACACTCGTCCTATATTCCTTCCATTTCTTAATGATTGACTCAACGCAATTTCTGGGGATGATTGGGGCTCTGTAAGTTATTTTGTACCCACACTCTGACTTGTACTTTTTAATAATTTGTTTTCTGAGTTGAATTTGGGCAGTTTCTTTAAACGAAGTGGATATTTACGCAATAATTTATTTCATATGAAATGTTTTTATTTAAATGGAATTATTTTGTATAAATTTGATTTGCACTTGTCAATGAAGAAGTTTTTTTTTTATTTTTCTGGTAAAAAATTAACATTTATATTGACCATGATGGGTTTGTTATTTATTACAGCAATAAAGGCATAAATATCCAAGGGAGTGATTTTTTTTTTCTAGGCATTGTGCACATTTGATGACTCTTCAAGTAAACAATTCTATAAGATGGAAAATGAGAGGTTTGGATCAAATGTTTATAAAATGCTTGAATGAATAAATTCTTACATTAATGACTCTAATTGATTGAGAATGAAAAATACCTGAGAATTTATGATACAATGACCCAGAATTATGCTGAGAAAAATACAAAATACAAATTTGATCAAGCTGCAGGTCATTAACCTTTTTTCCACTTTGTTTTAAATAATTTTATTTAAGCCAAAATAGTTTAATTTTTAATTTTTATTAGCGTTTCAGTCTGCACCAGTGATGGAGAAAATTGACAAAACATAGCCTAAAGGTGGTTAATTGAATGTGTGGCAGAGCTGACGTATGTTATCACCAAAACAATTTATTAAAAAATAATCTAGAACATCATTAAGAATCAGTTCTTTGGCAGAAAAATAATGGAGTACAAAAAAAAAAATCTATTTTAAAAAGATACATTTCTTCTTTTAACTTTAACTTTAATCTAACAATTAATCCATTTTTGTATTAAAAACAACATATAAATGTGGATGAAAATGTCTTTATGACCCATTTTTATGGGTTCATGGACCTATAGCCTAAAATTAAGGGTAAGAAAATGTATTTCTGGGATGGAACAAGGCCAGAATGGTTGGAGGGGGGGACATCAGAATGAGATGAACTGGGAGGGAATGAGTCAGAATGAGTTGAATGTGGGTTAATCCTTCCCCTAACTCCTGCTGTTTAAACACGTACAAACACACACAGGTGTAAGATGCACAACATGAGGTGTTTCACAAACCAACTCCATGACTCAAGAAAAAGAAGTGGTTAAAAAAAAAAAAAATAATTCACAGGATGCAAGGTGTTTAGCACAGTACACACGGACACAAACACACTAATCTGCACTTAAATTTAATGAAAAATAAGGACACACACATTTTTGCACACAGATGACATTCAAATGTACATCAATAATAACACAAACTACACACAAACTCACACCTAACAGCAATATTTCTGCAGGCAGATAACATTTAGACAATGCTGGCAGTGATTCTGTCCTCAGACTTGGGCAAAACAGAAAAGCTAACTTAAAAATGACAACAATGTGTTGAACACAACTGGTCTACTTT